AGCGTGTTAAATAGGTTTGATGTGCATTGTTGTTTTCCTAGTAAAGCATTTATAGTGAGCATGTAACATACAATTGAAATCTCAATGTCTTCATAATGATAGTGGAAGAGCTCATGTCAAATATTCAATATGCCTTGACTATAGGTAGTCTAATGTATGATCAAGTCTATACACATTCTAATGTTGTGTATGCTATAGGTGTACTTCAAAGACACTTGAGTAATTTTGAATTCAAGCATCAGTAATCCAACATTCTATATTTAGTTAGATATTTGATCCTATTTTCACATGCTGTGTGCAGCTAATTCTGATAGCATTAACTAGATGAGCTATTTCTTACAAAGTGTGAAATGAACAGTTATAGTATCCTCGATTATGGAGGCAAAGCATGCAGCATGCTGTGAAGCTACATGTGAGATTGTTAACTGTAAAATCTCATCTTAGGATTGGTTTTTGTGATTCCTATTTTGAAGTCACTAAAGATGTTTTGTGATAAATCTGTAACAATGGCTTTTTCTCAAATATTAGGAGTTCTTTACACTCTAAATAAATAGATATTATCATTTCGTCTATTAGAGAGCAAGTAATGGAATCCATTGTTGGAGTAAATTGTAGAGCACATAATCTGTAGAGCTCATTTTGGTGTAACTACTAACCAATTTAGGTTGCTAAAGTGTCATGACAACATGACACTTATACAAGGCTTGTAGAGCCTTCTACTATATTGAGTTTGTAGAAGCTTTGTGTAATAGAAATCAATTGTAACTATGATGGATAGATTCCTATTTGTCATATATATTTTGTTTGCGCTCATTCTGTTGAGTATGTCATTAATTGAATGGAACGTTTAGGATTAGTCTTATGTGCTTCTTTTGAAGCAATGTATTTCTTGGTTTAGGTGCAAAGGGCCTAATGGAATTAGACATTGATTCTGTTTTCATATCATTTTCATTTCACAATATCATACTTATTTCCATTTCACAATATCATATTGTGGTTTCTGAAGTGCTTGTGAGTTTATGTACACGTACCTTATTTGTATAGTCCATTCTGAGGTTCATAAATGCTTATTGTTGTTAAAGTATTCATAAGTTTATGTATATGTATCCTATTGATACAATGCATTCTAGGGTTTATAAATACTTTTAGGTTGTAGAACACATGTAGGTCCACATATTTGTACCTTATTGCTACATTTGCTTATTCTGTTGTATGATGATTCGAGTATTTACTTATATTTGATAGTTTTGGTTATGACCATTATGTTAATCCGAATATTTTTTTTAAATACATAAACATAAATTATACTATATTTTTTTTTTAAAATATTCAAAATTGACTTATGTTGTCCAAGTATGAAATTGTTGAATTTATCTCATATTGTGAATTAAAACAGTCAATTAATCCATACTTATATCAATTAATGTCAAAGTATGAGTGATTATAGTGTTACTATATTGTAATATACTTGAACATGTAGTATCATATTAGTTAAGTATGATTCCGATTTAATTTTTATTTGAACCCATAATAGGATAGGTTAATTTCGATTAACATATTAGGGGAGGTCCATGCTTTTACCTTTATATATGTGAGACCGACCCATTAATTTTATAACTTCAATTTGAGAGGAAGTGATTAGTTCTCTCCCCTTTTATTGTGCAGGTTACCTATTGGAATGTAAAGGGTTGCATCAAGAAGCACAGGAAGTCGATATCAATTCTATGAGCCTTGATTTAGTGGGATTGAGCTCTTGCTCACATTCGAATTAATTTTAATTTTGTATATAAATTGTATTAATGACTTGACGAGCTTCAGATCAAATCTAACATATGATTCTTGTGCTTAGAAACTCTCTACTTTTATCTTAAGTAAAACTCTCTCTGATGGTTTTGGATTTTGATAATTTCATTGTTTGCTTGTGTGTGGAAATGCGACAAAACTTTTTTAATTTCCTTCTTTGAGTCAATTGATAGTCCCACTTTGGAATATTCCTCTATTGTCTATGATCCCTTTTCACAAGGATAATAAAATTTGGAGGAAAAGATGAATAGTGTGGATTTGTTTCATTGCTTTACTGCCACAAAACCGGTCTTGCCAATATTGAGCCTAGAAGTGAACGCTCAAGTTCAGGACTAGACCTAGTTCTTGAATCCCCCTTGCACTAGCTCTACCTAAATATTTTCATTTCTGATCATGATATTAAGCAGCCATTGCTTTAATTTTTTCATATTTTGTTATCTTCTTCTAGCAGGAAAATGAATTTGTTCTGACAACATTTGTTATAGAAATGATTTCGAAGCTGAATTTTTAGGTCATACAGTGTTTGAATCCTCTCAATCAATTCATGTCTTTTAAAGAGTTGTTTGCATCTATTATTATTGTGAGTATGCAAACGTTATTTGGAATAGAAAATGCAAATGACATAACAGTTCTCCATATTCTTTTGTTGAATAAAAATTTGAGAGAGAGAGAGAGAGAATTTTAGTTCCTAGGCTCAAATAAAAAGTACTCCACAAGTGTTGTGCATTTAAAATTTGTTAATATTGAAAATGGATAAACTCCTTAATTGTGTCACTTCCAAGTGTCTAACCTTCAAAATATATATTAATTACAGTAAGGCTCTTCCGAAATTTAGTTTAAACTTTTTTTTTTGTTTTTATGAAAAAAGAGAGATTTCATTAATCAGAAAAGTTAGTCTGTGACAATGGTATCATGTAACCTAGAAGGGTATTCCTCTATCCAGTATCTGTCACCCATCAACTCAAATGCATGCCTTGCAAGTTTATGAGCAGCCGTATTTCCTTAATGCATTGTGTGTTCCACTCTGAAATAGCTATAGCTCTCTTTCAGTGTCCTCACTTCATCCAATATATTACTAATCCTGGATAAATTCTTGGATTTCATCCTTAACATTTATATAATTTGTGAAGCATCTCCTTCCAGAATTATTGCATTAAGAGCTGGGTCCCTTGCAAAAGTGATCCCTGTTAGTGCTGCATAGGCTTCAATTACCAAGGCTTTCTTCACCCCTTCTGCATGTTTTAATGCAGTTCCCAATACTTTCCCTTTGTTGTTCCTTACCAACACTCCAATGCCACTGACTGCCTCTGCCACCTTTAGTGCTCCGTCAATGTTAACTTTAGTTAGATTAGATGGCGGTGGTAGCCATCTGTTCTGGCCCTCCTTCCTTACATCTCATTTTTCCTGGCCTTTTCTGAATTCTTCTTGGTAATTAAGAGCGAAGCTTGCTGTGACCTGAGCATTTCGTGCTTCTCTTTCTTTAACTTCTGGATTCCTACCATGCCATATTGCCCAACAAACTGTTAAACCTTTCTCGAAGCTATCCTTGTCCATGGAATCAACCAGGCTAGTTAACCAGCCATTATCTGTTCCGAGAGATTAGCACATCCATATGTTTTCAACACTTGTTGCTATCCATGTCTCTTTTGCTCTCTGACAATCCCTCACAACATGCATTATTAGTTTCCTCATGCTGTCCACATTGTGGACAAAGAGTGGGAGTGTCGATATTCCATCTTCTAAGGTTGCAAAGCACTGGGAAAATTCCATGATTTAACATCCACCAAAATACCTTGGTTTTTGCTGGTACACTAGCACTCTATAACATGGTCCAACACTTCCTCGCACTTGCATCATTTACCTAATCATTTTTGTATTTGCTGCCTGAGTGTCCCTCTCAGCTTGTGTAAATTTGCATGATATGCACTCCTGATAGTGTAGGGTCCTCTTCATTCTCTGCCCCGTACCAGTTCATCATTATGTTTGAAATGGCCAAGTGGGGTGTTACATATCTGGTCTGCAATCTTAGTCCCAAATACTTAACGTATTTGATCCTTCTTCCATGTCCTGCTCTGATGCTCTATCAGTTCTTCTAATGGTGCTTCTGCATGCAATCGACTTTGATTTGTTAGGAATTCCAATATTTCCCTATCCCACGTCCATCTATCACGCCATATTCGGATTTGCTTCCCATCTCCCACTCTCCATTGCAAGCCTGACTTCAAAGAATCTTTGGCAATCCATTTACTTCACCATGTGAAGGAAGGTTTCGGTCCAAGTGGTGCATGTTCTTGGGAAGTATTTAGCTTTAAGCACCTTAGATACTAGGAAATTTGTGTTCTTTAACAGCCTCCAACCTTTCCCTAGCGGTGCTAAGTTAAAACATTCAAAATCTTAGAAACCCATGCCCCTATCTCGCTTTGCTAAACGTACCTTTTCCCATCTCAGCCAATGCATACCCCCCGTCCTTTTTAGAACTCCACCAATGGTTACTCATTATGCTATTTATTTCCTCAGATAGTTCCTTGCATATATTGAAAAAAAAAAATACAAACAACTTCCATCGAACTTCCAAGGAAAAATACAAACAACTAAATGCTGAAGCTTTCTTTTCTTACTTACTAAAACCAATAAGTTAATGCCTTTTTAAAGCAGGATAGGGGGAGGCAAACCAATAACAAATTTTATGTAATTAGAGATCTTTATTAGAGATGTTGTTGCAAAATATTTTTCCTTAAATAGTTTAAATTTTAAATAAATATATGTGAAGGGAAGGAAAAAAAATTATATCAATAAAGTAAATTAAAAAGACTTTTATATAAATTTTTAAAATTTTTTTAATTGATCCTTAATCCTTTAATTTTTATTTATTGTAAGTCATGTCAGGGCATTATGCCTCTAATTCCGAATAGCAACTTCAAAAATTTTAACTCAACATAAAATTTATATTATTTGGGTAAAATATATGGATAATTTTATAAATAATTTTTAAATTATAATAAAATATTTAACATAACATTTGAATTTAAAATTTTTTAATATAATATCTAAAATATTAATTTATTAATTAATATAATACTTAAAATATAATATTAATTAACATATTTATAATTTAAATCTTGCAAATGCCATGTTAAAAATTTTTAATGTCTAATATTACATTAAATTTTCAGTTGTTTGACCTTAGGATCTATTACATTAACATAAGGAATAAAGCACGGAGATAGCTTAAAATCTCTTAATTATCATTTCACCAGAAAACTCTTGTGCAAGAATGCTTTCTTCAATCTCCACAAGACGCCTAAACCCCTTTTCTCTGCTTTCCCCAATTCATGTTCTCTTATCCTCCACTTCTCACCCTATATTCCCGAACCCCACTTCCTATTTCCACTCTCAACCCCGAAATCCCCTCCCAAATCAACCCAATATCGACCATCACACCGTCCGGGAAACCCTGTCTTGCTACATCGACGACTGGAAACGCGCGTTGGAGTTCTTCAACTGGGTCGAAACAGACTGCCAATTCACCCACACCACCGACACCTTCAACAAAATGTTAGACATTTTGGGTAAGTATTTCGAGTTCGATCTTTCATGGGATTTGATTCATAGAATGAAAAGCAACCCTTGTTCGATACCCGATCACGCCACGTTTCGCATCATGTTTAAGCGTTATATAACTGCTCATCTTGTTAATGAAGCTATAACTACTTTTGATAGATTAGAGGAATTCAATTTGAAAGATGAAATTTCATTCTGTAACCTTGTTGACGCACTTTGCGAGTATAAGCATGTCATTGAGGCACAAGAATTGTGCTTTTTTGGTAAAAATAGGGAATTGGGTTTTAATGTGAATGATACAAAGATTCATAATATGATTCTTCGTGGGTGGTTTAAAATGGGGTGGTGGAGTAAATGTAGGGAATTTTGGGAAGAAATGGATAAGAAGGGTATTCCAAAAGATTTACATTCTTATTCTATTTATATGGATATAATGTGCAAGAGTGGGAAGCCGTGGAAGGCAGTGAAGTTGTACAAGGAGATGAAAAAGAAAGGGATAAAATTGGATGTTGTGGCGTGTAATACAGTTATTCGTGCTATTGGTTTTTCAGAAGGTGCAGATTTTGGTGTTGGGGTATTTAGGGAGATGAGGGATTTGGGTTGTGAGCCGAATGTTGTGACTTATAATACGGTCATAAAGCTTTTGTTTGAGAACGGAAGGGTGAGGCAGGCTTATTCGGTGCTCAATCAAATGCTAAAGAATGATTGCGCACCTGATGTAATTACATACCATTGTTTTTTCAGGTCTCTGGAGAAGCCAAGAGAGATTCTTAAGCTGTTTGATTTGATGATTTGTAATGGGGTTCAGCCAAGGATGGACACATATGTAATGCTTATGAGGAAGTTTGGGAGATGGGGATTTCTTCGACCTGTTTTTATCGTCTGGAAGAAGATGGAAGAACTGGGAAGTAGCCCAAATGAATTTGCTTACAATGCTCTGATTGATGCCTTGATTCAAAAGGGCATGTTAGATATGGCTAGGAATTATGATGAGGAAATGTTAGCAAAAGGGCTTTCATCTAAGCCGAGGAAAGAATTGTGAACAAAAGCTGTGCAAGGAGGACCTGATACTTGATAGCTGCAATTCTTATACACAATTTTGTAAAAGAGGCAGTTTCCACTGAAATTCTGTTGTCAGAGTGAAAGGAAGTTGGCGTGTCATTCTGGATTATGTACAGTGGGAAGTGCCTGTTAGTTATGTTGTAAAGGAATAATTAGCGTTTCTTCCAGGAGACTTGGCTTTAGTGGAATGGTTGATGGCATGATGTCGATTTCTCGTATTAAACTATACTAATGTTCCTTTTTTTAAGGGCAAACTAGGACATGTGAACATGTTTTTGTTTGGACTAAGGATTGCTGAATGTGCAGTCAAAGCACATCTGTTGGTGCTTTCTGGCTTTTGTCTAACCACTGAGAATAGCAAGAATGAAGCTGGTACAAGAAAGGCTTACGGTGGATGGTTCAGAAAATGAGACAATTTTTACACTAGAAAGTATCATGTTTCAGCGGCATCTCTAAATCTGCAGTAAAGCTTAACAACTCCCATGAATTATACGATTTGCAAGGGCTAAAGCCTGTCAACGATGGATTTCCAGCATTTGAAATGTTCCATGAGCTTCTATTTGGCAGCATGTTCTTACTTATTAGTCACCTTGCAAATGGCTGGTTTTCTCTCCATGTCTTTCCATCTTCTTCCTTTTAGCAATATAATAATTCTTTGATCACTCTATCCTTGTATCTCCTGCTGTCCTATCCATAAATGCAAATTTGATCAAATTATCTTTCATATCCTCAATCTTAGTTCAAGCGAGCCTAAGATGCATTACTAATTAATAATTTTAATTTTCGGCTTTTGATTTTGATTATTTGAATGCTGTTGTCTGGAATGAGACTTTAATTTTCATATAACAGTTGTTAATTGAAAGTTGGATTGGTGTTCTGATAAATTAAGTGAAAGCTGAGATGATTGAAACCGCCAAAGTCTGCCCAATCATGTATGATCAGCTTGTAGGATTTTGCTCTGTATTTTATGTTTTGAATTAAGAAACATGGAAGTTGGACTTAAATCAGGTGGATCATTTGCAAACGGCGGTATTAATTATACCAAATTTGCATAAAAATTTTTTTTTCTACCAGGAATTTTAGAGTGTGAAGATGCCTACTTGTAGATGTTATTCTTTAATATGACAGTCAATGGTCATTCATTCTCCACCACAAATCGTAAGTACAGATGGCAGCTTTATGTTGCAGAGGAACCCAATCCACTGGTTCTATTGCGTGTGATTAGCATGTGAAATTTAAAAGCACCAATTGGAAGATGGAATTTATATAAAATTTTTCTTGAAATTTAGTTTAGTTACATTTAATAATTTCTAAGAGGTAGTTAGTAGATTTAGGTTGAATCTCCGCATCAATACCTTTTCTTAGATTACGGTTTTTATTAAAAAGAAAATCAAATTAAAGGCAAAGGGTTCCTATTGATTTCACTAGACCATTTAATTTTTTAAGGTGACAAGTTTCCGCATACAAAAATAACTCGCTAAAGTGTTTTAAAATTGTTTTTAAAGAAAAAGAAAGTTTTTATCTAATGTATTTTAATTTAAATAGTGTTTGATATTTTTTATAAGATTATCATCGTAATATAATCATTGAAGTGATTTTATTAGTAAGATGATTTTATCACTCGTGAATTAAAATTATTTTATTTAATTAATGATTATTTATTTTAAAAAAAATTTATTGTGTTCGATATTATAAAAAATCAAACATTATTTGGTTTAAAATTATAAAAATAACCATAAAATTATATCAATTACACAAGTTATTAATTTTAATGGTGTTTAAAAATAATAATTTATAAAATATTAATAATATATTATTTTATTTTATAATAAAATATAATTAAATTATTAAATTAAGAAAAATATTTATTATAGGTAAATTAATTTTTATAATATAAATTATGTAAAAAATATTTGAATTAGAAAATAAAATTAATTAATTAAATTCATATTAAAAAATATATTATATTATAATATTAAAAATATTTAAAAAATCTAAATTATTTTAAAACTTGTTACAATAAATATTAGTTTGAAAATATAAAATCTATGATATAAAATAATCATAGTTTTAAGACAAAACAAGTTTTTGGTTAATATATTAAATGAGTAATATTAATTATTGTTAATTTTACATATCGTTTAAGTGATAAAAATTTTTTATCTTTTAGTATCGAAATTAAAACACCCTTCAAGACATTTATCTAATTACTTTTGATAATTTAATATCATCATCATATAAAATTATTAAGTATTTTTTAAATATAATAATATAATTATCATATACGCATCATCATAACTTTTAAAATAATCACTTTATACCAAAATCATCTTAAAAAATTAAAATCCTTTAGATGTGCGAATTAGTACTTTTTAACAATGCCAATGAAACAAAAGAAAGGTATGTTATTCAATGTATAGTTTCTTTCTAAAAAGAGAATCTATCAAGTATTAATTTTTTATAAAATCAATAATGATTAATATTAATTTAATATTTTGTAATTATATAATAAAAATAATATTAGATATTATGATTCTATAATTATAATAATATCTAAAATTACTATGCAATTATAATATTATATATAATTACTTTTATAATTAGTAAAAATCTTCTATATATAAATAAAATATTTTTATAATTTTTTCTTAAATTAGTGAATACAAACTTTACTTCTTTATCATTCAACGAGTGACATTTTATTCAAAAACCAAAGACATTCAGAGGATACGTTGGATATTATTTTTTTAATTTCAAAAAAAAAAAATCGAACTTATCCATATATTTATGTTGGAAATTGTCTTGTTAAAACTCCATTAAAATTTTTTATTTGAATAGAATATTATTGGCGATGTGGCATGCGCCGACCTTGAGGTGGCAGTAATAGATGATTGAGGCCTTACAATATTGGGCCATAAGAATATTAAAGTGGAAAAGTCAAATGATGTACACATTTGCACTATAAAATGTACCGTACCACGTCCAAAGCATGTTTAGGCAAATTAAAAATGAAATTTTGTTTTGTCCTACAGTCAATTAACCCAATATGTAACTTGTCTTTTGGATGTAATTAGATTCTCTTTTGCTTTTATACTTTACTCATGTAGTACACTCTTCATTTGTCAAAATCTAGGAATTTTCTTTTGACACTTAATTGCTTTTTTTTTTTATCAAAATAAATTTGCAAAATAAAATGAAGAAATAAAAATTATAAATGTTAAAATTTAAACTTTAAATTTATTATATATTATTTTTTAATTATAATTATATGAATTAATTGAACTAAATTTTAAATTTAACACATAATGACTTAATTATGTACATATAATTTTGCTTACTCAATAAACTTATGTTTGCCCAAACACAACTCTTTATATACATCTTTTGTACATGGTCACGGAGAGCATATATAAATCTTTATTCAATAAATATATATAAAATTAATTACAATGGTGAAATTGTTTAACTTTTGGTTCAAATATATATATATATATATATATATATTTACGAACGGGTTCATAATTTAAGAATATAAGAAGGGTTATAGATATTAAAATTTAAATTTCATATATGTTAGATATCACTTTTTAAAAATAATTAAATAAACTAATTAAATTAAAGTTTAAGTTCAATTCAAATATATTTCACATGTATATAATGTATATAATTAATGTCTATACACAATTTCAAACTATGGAAATTAATTAATGTTTGAGTCATATGGATTTATCTACAAAAATGGATATGTTTGTAAGAATCAAATGTTTTTTCTTGATAAAGTATAATTTTGGGGAAAGGAATATTTGAATCCTTTAATTAAAGAAATTGATCTAAAATTCAATTAAATGCAAATCAGGAACTTAATTCAATTAGTTTATGTAATTATTCTTAAAAAAATAATATCTTGTAAGCTTTCAATCAAATGCTTAGGTGCATGAAATTCAAATACTACCTTTGTCCCAAAATGTTTGTCATATATTGACTTTTACGAAATTAAAAAAAAAATGACTTTAATGTGTTTAGTATTAAATTTTAAATTTTTTTTATAAAATTAAAATTCCATTATTTTTAATGTCAAAGAGTAAAAAAATAATAAAAAATAATTTCAAAATATAAAAAGTAAGAGTTTTAAATATTCAAAAAAGAAAATAAGATATAATTTTGAGATATCTCAAAAAAAAAAAAAGGATAGAGGGAATATTAAGTATTTATGGTATTGATATATAGTAATAAAAACAAAATAAAAATCTCTCTTCCCCTATAAGATTGTTAACATCATTTAGATGACATACGATACATAATTATATTTTTCTCAATTTACAGGCAATTCGCAATCCAATCCAATAATTTTTTTTTGAGAAAAATCCAATAATACCTAAGTAGTGTTAAAATTTGAAAATAGCGACAATAATTAGGTAAAAAAATAACAATGTTTTCACTTCTATTTATTTTAAAATGCAATTAATAACCATAAAATATGTCATATGTCAAATTAATTTATTTCAAGTTGTTTTTGTTGGTGCATATAACTTCTTATTAGCCGTTGGCCTTATTCCTCCATGAAATCATTTAAATAAATAGGTAACTTTATTAAAATAAATATAAATTTATATATTTATATATTTTTATAAAAATTAAATATTCAATATTAAGAATCCCAAAATTTGTGTGAAATTAGAAAATCCTATATTAAAAGAAAATCTTAATCGTACGGTGGCAGGGGGAAAGTAGAAACGTGCAAGAGTTCGGTACCTGCTTAGGCCCGTGAACAGGGACCGAGCATAGACTTTGAAGTCCGAACTTCACACAGCTTGGCTTGGTTAAATTTTTTTTTTATGAATAAATATATTTTATTTAATTTGAATTCCAAAATATATTTTAAATTTTAAAATTTTATTTATTTTATTAACAAAATAATAATCAAATTATTATCTTATAATTTATATTGATAAATCAAATACAAAACATATTTTTTAATTTTTATAAAATTTATATTCTATTTTTTTATTTAAAATTTTAATTTATATTTTGTTATAATTTTTATATAATATTTAAAAGTGAGAGGCCTAACCTTGAATTTTAAAAAGGAAAGAGAGCTACTAGGTCTGGCCAGATCGATGACGATCATCGCTGGATGTTTCTGGTGAAAATTTCAATAATAATAATAAATAAAAAATCACCAACGTTTTACATCACCATCAATTACTAGGTTCTCTAGGCCAATATAAAATGTACACGTATAAATTTATAGTTACTAAAGGACATGCCCAGTTGAAAAGGACGAGAGCCGTGGAAATGACGTGCAAGTCTCGGACACTGATGCAAAACATTTTGTTAAACATGATAAACACATTTCTTACTAGTTGCTTTTGACTAGTAAAAGTTTATGCGCTTTGATTGATCCTATAAAACCCTCACTCTCACAATCCCAAAAGGCACCAAAGCTTCTCCAAATACAACATCCCCATAGCCAAAGAAAAGAAAAGCAAAGAAATAACATAAAATTGGACATGCCTTTTTCTCTCCTGACAACGGTGTCCTCCAATTTCGATTCAAAATTTGATGAATGTCAATGGGTGATCTGCATCCGTAGATCCCTTGATGAAGAGCTTGAAGATGATATTGAAGTTCCTGTCTCAATCTTCAGTGTTCCCAAAGTTCTTATTTCTAGTAGTCCTGATAGTTACACCCCACAACAGCTTGCTCTCAGTCCTTACCATTATTGGCGTCCGGAACTATATGAGATGGAGAGATACAAGCTGGCTGCAGCAAAAAGAACCCAAAAGCAATTGCGGTGTCTTGCATTTCAAAACCTTGTTGAACAACTGGAAAAGCTTGAGCCAAGAATTCGAGCTTGCTATCACAAGTACTTAGATATCAATTCTGAAACTTTATCTTGGATGATGGCCATTAGTGCTTCGTTCTTGCTTGAGTTTCTTCAAATCTATGTTTTCCATGAAAGGACTATATCAAAAGTTTGCTCCAGAATGTCCCATTTGATTGATTATGCAGGAACAAAATCAGCTCACCATTCGATTCTCAGAGACATTGTGATGCTTGAGAATCAGATTCCATTGTTTGTAATGCGAGAGGTGCTAGAAATCCAATATTCATCGTTGGAAGCAGCTGATGGTGTTTTACTTTCGATGTTAATGGGATTATGTCAAGAGCTCTCCCCTTTCAAAACGATGGAGAACATGCCAAAGATTGTAATTTCCAAGCGTCCTCACGTTCTAGACTTTCTGTACCACATGATAGTACCGAAAGTGGAAGAATCACCGTCTGAATCAGTTGTCCAACCGGAGGAACAAAAAGAACCCATAGAAGAAAAGGAAAGCAGTTCTGTGGACTCAAGTCTATATGTGAAGCAGCTTTTGAGAAAGATAGGGGAGATGCTCTCAAAGATGAACAGTGCCCCCGCACGGCTCATCAAAGCAACTCTACAGTCGAGACCTGTTAGAATCATACTTAAATTGCCCTGGAAAATCCTCTCTAACCTCCCTGGATTTTCAATCTTGAGAAAACCAATCGAGTATTTGTGTTTCCTAAAAGAGAAGGAAGAAAAAACTAAACCAGGTGCAAGCAATTTCAGCATCCACGAAACCCCTCGGGCAGAGGAGATAGCAATTCCTTCCGTAGCTGACCTTTCAAAAGCTGGTGTCCGCATTTTGCCCACCAATGGTAACATTTCAACTATCAGTTTTGATGTCAAGACTGTTACATTATATCTCCCTGTCTTCTGCTTAGACATTAACACGGAAGTTGTCATGAGGAACCTGGTGGCATATGAAACATCGAATGCGTCAGGTCCTTTGGTTTTTACTCGCTATACTGAATTAATGAATGGAATTATTGACACTGAGGAGGATGTCAAATTGCTAAGAGAAAGGGGCATCATTCAGAACCATTTGAAGAGTGACAAAGAGGCTGCAGACTTGTGGAATGGGATGAACAAATCCATCAGACTGACCAAAGTTCCTTTCTTAGATAAAGTGATTGAAGATGTCAACAAGTATCACAATTGCAGATGGAATGTTAAACTCACAAACTTCTTTAAGCAGAATGTGTATGGTTCCTGGCAGTTTCTCACAATGCTGGCCACAATTATGCTCCTGTTCTTGGTGACATTTCAGTCCTTTTGCTCGGTTTATAGCTGTTCCAAAGTCTTTCATCAAATCCAACCCTCTGACTGACCTATATACTTTGGTGCATTTTCATGTATAGCAAACTAGTATTATGACAGACAATCGTTGGTTCCATTGATTGATTGATCCTTTCTAGCTTGTAACGAGACAAATTGGATTCGAAAAAAGGTATTCTATGTATGCTAGATTCTTAATGGTCAAATGAGGTTTCATTGATTGATTATTGTCTTGTTTGAAAGAATGAATGTTAATTTCTCACCTATTTCCTAGAAATTACATGAATTGAATGTTTTGATTTTCTGGCTTTATTGCATAAATATTTGTGTGTGATAAATATTATGGTTTTTAATTAAACATACAATATAAAACAAAATAATCATTAGTTAAGAGATCATTCAACTTGAATACAAGACAACTCTAATCTAAAAAAATAGCACAAAGTTCTCGAACATAGAAGCTCAATCTAATTAACAATTGGAACAAGCATGTCTAACTTGTGGACATGTTTGACAACAGACAACAAACAACAACAATCAACCTTAAGGCTTTGCTCGGAAAGAAAAAAAAAAAAAAAAAGGAAACGAAAGGAAAGAAAATATTTTAATTTAATGATTGAGTTAAAAAATAGTACATACCAATCATTAAATTAAAAAATTTCTTCCCTTATTCCTTTATTTTCTTTTTTCAAATTGAGGATAAAATTTATACCATATTAAGTATTTAATTTAAAACAAATTAATCATATTAAGTATTTCTTCAAATGGGAGCTTCTTGGACATGTAAAAAAGCCAACATGCATAGATGATTTGTTTTAATCAACTTAAAAATAGTGTAATTTCCTAGCAACTCTTTGATCCTAATTGCTATGAATTTCACTTTGTAGCACAAAAGTGGCCCCTAGCCTAAAGAAATAGAGAAAAATGTTATAAGTGTTGATATTTAAATTTTAAAATTATAAATAATTATATAAATAAATTGAATTAAATTTCAAATTTAATTATTATTAAGTTAAACTTCTAACTTAATTACGAGTAATTTTTGCAAACTCTTGTTTAATTCTACTAGTGTCAATGAAAGGATCTTAACTTTGTTAATACCAGAAAGAAAATCCTTTGGTTGTTATTATAATTTGATGTAATTAAAGAAAAAAGTCAATTAAATGTCAAATGTAGAAGTTTTACTATAAAACATTGACGTTAACTTCAAGCAACTAAGCACGTTTAACAGATGAATGAAGACTGAACGGAAATCAAAGATAGAGACTAGTGATATATCTTTTGCATACATACACGCATTTGACAGTCGAGACAAGTGATACATCCTTTGCATTTGACTTCTATTACAAAAAGACAAGCATTTGACAGTAGAGACAAGTGATGCATCTTTTGCGTTTGACTTCTATTGCAAAAATACACGCATTTGACAGACTTTTGATTTAGTACTGATATATGGTGAGAATTTTTGTTTGAGGAATTGGAAATAAAGAAGGCAGATCAATGACTGCCAAGGTTTTCCTTTCATGAGTAAAGAGGAAGCTTAAAAGGAGATATTCTTTAATTAAATTATAATACCATTATTCCTTGCATTGATATGCATATAAGAAATAATGAAATACAAGAGAAGTTATACTTGAAAAGCTCTTTAATTTTATGGAGTTATGCAACATATTTATACAAATGTTTAAGGGGTAAGTGATAAGCATAATCCTAATTAAATTAGTGTAAATCTGATAATTTTACATGATAAACAAGATTAAGGATAAGTGATGCTTATAACCTAATCAAACTAGTGTAAAGCTTTTTATAAGAAAAAAACTAGTGTAAAGCTGATAAATTTACATGATAAACAATGTTAATTTAAGACTAAATCAGATAAATCAGTAAAACTATATTCAAAATTCCCTTCAATATTCATTGGATGGTGGAACCATTTAACACATCAATCTTGGAAATGATATATTGTAAGCAAGCATTGGATAAGGGCTTTGTTAACACATTTACTGGCGGATCAACTGTGGATATGTGATGGACTGTCGATTAATTTTGAGAAATTTTTTCTTGAACAAAGAAGTAATCCAAAACCAATTTACGTTTGTTTCGCAAAAAGTTATTTTAAAAAAATAATTTTTATATTTTTATATATATGTTTGGTAAAAAATTGATTGATTAATTAAAAATAATTTATTAGTCAATAGAAAATAAGATAATTTTTTTGAAAATTATATCCTTTTGAAAAGGGAAAGATAATTTCAGAAAAAGAGTTTCTATGAGTAAAACTATTTGTCAATGTGTTTAAGAGTAATTTTATTCAATTTGGACCTTATACTTGATTTTTTAAAGTTAAAATTTAATTTGACCCGACCAAAAATATTATTATACTAATAAGTAATATTTTCTTTAATTTTGCTTAAAAATTAAAATATTAATATTAAAAATTTTTTAATACTTTAATTTTAAATATTTTTATAATTTTACTCAAGTAAGACTTTGAACATAATATTTTAAGTTTGAATTTGATTTGATTCGATTTAAAATATTATTATGTTAATAAACGTTTTATTTAATTTTAATTAAAAAGATTAAATATTAAAATATAAAAGTCTTTTCATATTTCAAATTGAAATAGTTTTATTTTGTATATTATTAAAATAAATATTTTTAGTATGCCAATAATAATTAGTATTATATTATTATTTTAATAATAAATAATAATTAATAACAATATTTTTATTATTTTAATAATTAATGTTAAATAATATAATAATATTATTTTCTTAACATGAATATTTTTAATAATATCTTATTATTTTTTAGTTTAAAGTATATAATTTTATATTTTTATTTATTAAGGTATTTATATTATTATTTTAATAATCAATATAAATAAAAAAGATTTTTGTTTTGATTTAATAATAGATACTTTCAAAATAGTATAAATATTTTAATAATAAATATTATTATTTTAATATTAATAAAAATAATATTTTAAGAATAGTAAATTATTTAAAATATTAATATAAAGAATAATAAATAGTTTTATTTTAAGTATTTTTCTATTAATATAATATTTTAATATTAAATATTTACTATTAAAATATAATTATTCTTAAATATTAATAATTTTAATAATAAATAATTTCAATATACTTAAATAATAAAAATTTATAATATTTTAATAATTATATTAATATTATTTGAGAAAAGAAATAAATGTTTATAAAATAACTAAAATTATAAAAAATATTTGTCATTAACTAATTCAAATATTATAAAATCTTTACCTTTTTGAAAATTATAAACATTTTTCAAAAAATATTTTTTGAAAGACAATTTCAATGAAACAAACGGAGCCTAAATGTTTCATCTTGAAGTGAAAAACTGGATTTCTAGTAGTAATGTAAGCAAATAAGTTATCACAGTATACTGCTGATTTAGAAGAAATAAAAAAATGAAGCTTAACCAATCAGTACTACATCCAAGTAAACGCAGAAGCAACAGTTGCTATGGCTCAAAACCTTCGCAATAGTATAGAAAGAAATTGTTTCTGTTGCAAATGGTAAGAACATATAATTTAGAGGCCCAAATATTCTACTTAGGTTTAAAAGTGCGTTACATTAAATCCACCATTGAGAAAGATGATCTTGTATTTAAGGGTTGTTTTATTGAAGAAAGGGGGATTTTTCGTTCATAGTATGGACAAGGCTTTCTCTGACTATCACTTAGTGACAGATTATATATTTGGCAATAATTGGAGCAACTTCTTACATTATAGCGAAGACGTCCTCTAGCTACATTCCTGGGTATTATCTGAGTGGAGTGCATAAGCATGTACTATGAAGTGAATTCTCTGCTGTAACCAGATTCCTTCAAAATGCTCGTCTTCTCTTTTAAACTCAGATTTTGTATATTTTTGCAGATATACAAGTTTGTTGGCAGTTGGTATCGGCATTGTACTATTTCTATTGACTAGCTTTTCTGATCCGGGGACTGTGAAGGCAGAGAATGTTTCACAATATCTATCTGCTTATCCTTATGACAATATCATATATTTTGGGAAAGAATGCTTGACTTGTAAACTTCCAAAGCAGGTAAACTGTTTGGTGTCATGTTTATTGGTGGCTTTTTAATTCTGTAAGATGTGATGGGATTATTCTATTAATCCAGACCTACCAGATCCAAGCAGTGCAGCTTATGCAATCAATGAGTTGCCTCTTTTCTTCTTTATTTTAATTTGTGTAGTGAGATGTTCTATGTACATCACGTTAAAAGCATCCGAATCTCATGTCTACTTAAGATGGTGATACTTATTGCAGAATAATTGTATAGGGGAAAGAAATACACGATACTTCTTGACTTTTCTTTTATGGTGAGTTCTGCACTATTTATCAGCGGCTAGCAATCTGTATTTTCATTTAGTTTACTTAATTGCCCTTTTAACATTTTTGTTCACCCTTGTGCTGGATAGATACTTATGATGTTCTCTAGGAGAACATCAGCAACCTCTAGTTAATAGGCAGAAACTACCCCATCACTAGAGCTTTTGCTGTCAATTAGTAGGGTCATACTCAAGGTTTTGTCATTAATTATGACTGGAGCTTTTCACCATTGAAGTTCCGTTAATGTAAACTAGTTGTCAATTTTGTCACGCCCCGAATCGAGGCACAACAGATGCCGCACACTTGTAAGATGTAATCTTGCAAATATACAAGGCCAAAAATATACTAAGACTTATAAATCTAAATGAGGCAAGTGTAACTAAAAACGAAAAAGTTCATAACATTTAGTATCTTTTAACAAAAAAATGAAATATTTAAAAAATTCGTAAATCTTGAAATATCTAGTTATAGTCATAAATAATTAATTATAAAAATTTATACATCTAAGCATTTAAGAGAATCTTAAAGATCTTATAATAGCAACTAAAGTTTTGAAACTTCACTCTTCGTGATTCCCACGAGCATAATCAAAATCTGAAGTGGTAAAAAAATATTAAAGAAAGGAATGAGTACAAACACACAATAAGTAACTAACATCCTCTCAGTTGGATTAAGCATGTCACAAAACATTTAGACCAAAATAGTAACTAAATTATTCGAAATTATTTTAGATGATTTTGTGTTCAAACACATTTCTATAAACCATATCTCAAAATTAGAATCTCATATTTCAAAGTAAAATAAAACATCACAAAATCATAAAATTTATTAGTCTCCCGTAACATACTTTAACCCCATTTAACCTCTGTGGTATAGGTTAGAATCAAAATTTTTTCTTTAATACAATGAGATGAAGGTATATCAAAAGCAACTGGATAGTTGCACTGAACAATCATAATTAATCTGTTAGTGCAATGGGATGAAATAAAGATCAGATAAACTCCTTTAGTGCAATTGGACAAAAGTAACATATTTAGTACAATAGGACATAAGCATATCACTAATGGTACTATAAACAAAAATCACTATTTGAAACTGGTATTGATATCACAAAATGCATCTCGACATGCCAATAATTAACTCTCATTGACAAAGTTAGAACATAATCATACTAGAAGATAAAACTAAAATATATTTTTAGGTTACCTAATGTAGATAAAATTAATATTCATATACCTTCTCAAAAACATAATTCATACAAAGTCATTTCCATAACTGCAAAGCAAAATTTCATATTCCAACAATCGATGGGTATATAAAAATATATTGATACGAAATCAAATTCAAAATTAAAAAAAATACCAAAACCATATTCCAGCCAATATCT